CTTCCGTGTTCTGCGTCTGCACTCGGACAGAGGCGGAGAGTTTTCCTCTGGCCTACTGCGAGCCTACTATCGCGCACGAGGCATCCGTCAGACCTTCACGCTTCCGGACTTACCGCAGCAAAATGGGATTGCTGAGCTCCACATTGGCATGGTCATGGACGTCGCTCGTACGTCTATGATGCATGCGGCTGCCCCCCATTTTCTGTGGCCGTTTGCGGTGAGGTACGCGGCGCATCAGATCAACCTCCACCCCAGGGTCTCCAGGCCGGAGACCTCCCCAGCCTTGCTGTGGACGGGGAAGGTTGGCGATGCGTCGGCGTTCCGGGTCTGGGGATCTCGGGCGTTTGTCCGCGACTTGTCTGCAGACAAGCTGTCCCCTCGTGCTGCTCCTTGCGTCTTCCTGGGGTTCCCCCCTGACGCGCCTGGGTGGCAGTTCTACCACCCCACCTCTCGACGTGTTCTGTCCTCCCAGGACGTCACGTTTGACGAGTCGGTCCCCTACGACCGCCTCTTCCCCTACCGCACTCCGTCCCTCCCCCCACCCCTGCTCTTCCTTGTACCAGGTCCCCCCCAGGTAGACCCCCTCCCCCCTCAGGGTCCTGCCCCTTCAGGGGTGTCCCAGGTAGACGCAGTCGAGCCTGTCGAGGTCACTGGTGACTCTGGTGCTGCTGGGGGTGCTGAGCCTGGGGGTGCTGGACCTGGGGGTGCGGAGTCTGGGGGTGCTGAGCCTGGGGGTACTGCGTCTGGGGGTGCTGAGCCTGGGGGTGCTGAGCCTGGGGGTGCTGAGCTTGGGGGTGCTACGCCTGGGGGTGCTGAGCCTGGAGGTGCTACGCCGAGGGGTGCTGAGCCTGGAGGTGCTACGCCTGGGGGTGCTGAGAGTGGAGGTGCTCCGCCTGGAGGTTCTCCGGGTGCTTCTTCTCGCCGGGAGCCACTCTCTCCACAGAAGCTGCACGAGTGGTTTGCCCGGCGCTGGCGCCGTACTGCTGGTGCTGGAGGTTCTTCGACTGCTGAGGGTACTGCGGTCGCGGGTCCCGGAGGTGCTCGTACTGGGAGTACTGGAGCTGCTGGGCCTACAGGTTCGACTGGAGCTGGTGTTGCTGAGGGTGTTGGCGTTGAGACTACCGCTGGCGGTCCTACTGGGGGTGCTCCTAGTGCTGCTGGAGGTGCTGCTGGAGCAGGTGCTCCTGCTGAGGGTACTGGTGCTGTCCCTGCTGCTTCTGGCGTCGTCACGCGGCCTCGACCGTACTTTGTTCCACTCCTGCAGCAGGTTCTTGGTCTTCCTCCTTCTACTGGTCCTCCTCCTCCCTTAGAGTGTCCACAGCCTGTCCCGTCACAGTGACAGCTACAGCCTGCCTCCCCTCTGCCTTCTCCTTCTCCCTACGCTGGTCCTATTGGAGGTGTTACTGAGCGTCGTGAGCCTGCGTCTCATCCTGCGTCGCCTGTTAGAGCTGCTCGCGCTAGTGGTCGCGGTTCGAGCTAGCGTCCTCCTCCTGTCCCTGGCACGCACCGGATATCTCTGCGTCCGTCTCTTGCTCCTCTGCGTGCCCCTTTGCCTTCCCCTCCTGAGTCCTCTCTTCCTGCACTTGCTGACCCTGAGTCCGACTCTCTTCGTGCTGCCAGTCCTACTGTCACGCGTCTCCTTGCTACTGTTGTCACTGACCCTTCTTTCGAGTCTACTGCTGCGTCTGCTCTCGTTACTGAGCTCGTCGACTTTGCTGCTCGCTGTCGCTTAGACTACGCTGCTAGTCTTGTCGTTGAGTCTGAGTCTGCCTGTCCTCCGTCCGTCGGGGGTGAGTGTGCCCTTGGCACGGACGTCCTTGAGCACAGGTAGGAGGAGTTCCAGTGTCTGGTGGCTGCTTCACCTCATCTTGCGTCCGTACTGCTTACCCCTGAGGGAGACCCGGATGCACTTGACATCCCGACTCCGCGCTCTTACGCGGAGAAGATAGAGGGTCCCTACTCCTCTCAGTGGCAGGCAGCTATGGATGCAAAGATGGCTTCCTGGAAGTCCACAGGCACCTACGTTGACGCTGTCCCCCCTCCTGGGGCGAACATCGTCAGTGGCATGTGGATCTTCAGGGTGAAGCGACCGCCGGGTTCTCCGCCTGTCTTCAAGGCGCGTTACGTGGCTCGTGGCTTCAGTCAGCGGCAGGGAGTTGACTACTTTCAGACCTTCTCCCCCACCCCGAAGATGACCACTCTTCGGGTACTGCTGCACATTGCTGCTCACCGTAACTACGAGCTCCACTCTCTCGACTTCAGCACAGCTTTCTTGCAGGGCAGCCTTCACGAGGAGATCTGGCTGCGCCGCCCACCTGGCTTCACTGGGTCTTTCCCTCTTGGTACCCAGTGGAGTCTCCGGCGTCCAGTCTACGGTCTCCGCCACGCGCCACGTGAGTGGCACGACACACTGAGGACTACGCTTGCGGCTCTTGGGTTTGCTCCTTCTACTGCCGACCCGTCGCTGTTTCTGCGCACCGACACCTCTCTGCCGCCGTTCTACATCCTTGTGTACGTCGACGACTTGGTCTTTGCCACAGCTGACACTGCTGGACTCGCCTACGTGAAGTCCAAGCTGCAGAAGCGACACACGTGCACTGACCTGAGTGAACTGCGCAGCTACCTTGGCTTGCAGATCACCCGGGACAGAGCACGCTGCACCATTACCCTGACTCAGTCACACATGGTGCAGCAGGTCCTTCAGCGCTTTGGCTTCACGTACTCCTCGCCTCAGGCCACTCCTCTGCCTACTCGCCACTCACTCTCAACTCTGCCTTCGGATGAGTCCGTAGAGTCGAGTGGCCCGTATCCAGAGCTTGTTGGCTGCCTCATGTACCTGATGACCTGCACACGACCTGACCTTGCATACCCTCTTAGCATTCTTGCACGCTATGTTGCTCCTGGGAGACACCGACCAGAGCACATGGCTGCAGCGAAGAGGGTGTTGCGCTACTTGTGCAGTACGTCGGGCATGGGGCTAGTGCTTGGAGGGCGGAGTCCAGTGGTCCTCACTTGGCACGCGGACGCTTCTTGGGCTGACGACCAGGCTACGCAGCGGTCGTCACAGGGTTACACCTTAAGTCTTGGTTCCGGCTCTGTTTCGTGGCGAGCTACCCGCTCGTCTTCTGTTCTCGGCTCCAGTTGTGAGGCTGAGATCTACGCCAGGGCTATGGCTGCCCAGGAGCTTCGCTGGCTCACCTACCTGCTGACCGGCCTTGGAGAGCCGCCTCGTTCCCCTCCAGTCCTGTACGTAGACAACAAGGCCATGCTGGCCTTGTGTCGAGAGCAGCGACTGGAGCACAGGACAAAGCACATTGCTCTTCCTTACTTTCTTGCTCGTGAGCTACAGCAGCATGGATAGTTGCGGCTTGCGTACGTGGCCTCTGAGGCCAACACTGCTGATGTTTTCACCAAGGCACTTGCGCCTTGTGATCATCAGCGCATCTGCACTCAGCTGGGTCTTGTGCCTGTCTTGGCTCACTTGCTCACTTCTTGACCTTGCTTGTACTGTCACATATATAAACTCCTGCTCTTGCTTGCTTAGCCTCGTATATATATATATATATATATATATATATATATATATATATATATATATATATATATGTGTGTGTATGCTCTTGCATGTGAGCTGGCCTTTTGGCCTTTGAACTTGTGCTCGGAATGTGTGGTGACTTTGTGATCCACCCTGAGCTTTGCTTTGCTTTGCTTGACTGGTCTTGTGACCCCTTGTTCTCCCCCACTTTGCCTATGGGGGTGTGTCAGAACATTATAGCTTATGCTATTGTGTATGCTATATTGGGGTATCCCATAGGGGGTACAACACAACTAGGGTTTCACATTTGTACTCGCTTCATTCATAGTTCATTTATTCTCGTTCAACTTTTCTCATGTTCCGCATCAAAACTCTGGCGGACGGCTCAATTGATAAGCGCAAGGCGCGTTGGGTGGTGCGCGGCTTCGAACAAACGCACCTGGTGGACTTCACTCTCACCTACGCATTGCGGACGCCACACATCGGTGCGCATTCTCATCTGTATCGCAGGCGTCAGACAACGACCACTCCGTTTAATCGACATCGGCAACGCATTTCTGTACGCCCCCGTCGGACTCGCCAACCCTACCGCTACTCTAGAGCTCCATGGCTACGTAGACGCAGACCACGCAGGAGATGTTGAGAACAGACGCTCCCGCATAGGATTCATTTTCCAGCTCCAACCTGCTGGACTCATCTCTTGGAACTCTCAAAAGCAAAAACTCATCGCTCTTTTGTCAGCCGAAGCTGAGTTCATCGCCGCTAGTGCAGCTGTTCACGAAGGACTGTACCTAATGGAGCTCCTGCAAGAAGCGAAAGTGACGATGAATGGGCACTTCACGTTACTCTGCGACAATCAGAGTGCGATCAAGATCGCGAACAAACCCGGCTTCGTGAACCGCACGAAGCATATCACACTCTGTTACTTCTTCGTCAAGGATGGAATTGACAAGGGGAGAGTCAAACTCACGTACTGCCCAACCGATGACATGGCAGCTGACTTTCTGTCACGTCAACAGTTCCAGCACTACGCCGACCTCTGCGGGATCACCAATAAATCCCACGTGGCTCACCTTCCGGAATGAAGGGGGGTGTTGGAATAACCGTAAGGTTATTATATGCATTCGTGAAGGATTCCCACTAACGCGTCTGTTCTTAACATAACAACGCACTGTACCAGTACCGCAGTAGCTCCTATAGAGCATGCGGAAGGTCGAGAGTCACCCGAAGGTCAACAGTCAAAAGACAGTCAACGGTCGTGACTCTTGACCGACCAGTAGCCGCACGACAGTTAATCACTGCAACATAGTACGGTAACTGTCGAGAATAGCAATTGTCGTGGTTACTTTTTTTTTCATTATGAATGTATCAGAATACACCGATGAAGCAAGCGTATAAGAGATATATGTCAGTCGTAACTGAGCGTGAGAGGCCAAACCCTCAGTGGTGGCCCCAAGCGAGGCTTCTAAGGCGGATGCAGAGATCCCCTTGCAAGACTCCATAGCGCGCCAAAACTGTGCGTCCACTTCCAGCCTTTTGCCGTTGGACAGCGGATGCGCCTGAGCAAATTGTCCTCCTGGCCAGCCAGCACATGCGAGCTGGCTTGTCTTTTGCAGCCACCGCTTTTCCCGAGCTTCTTCCCCATGGCGCGCGTGTACACCATCACATGCAGCCGAAAGGCTGCTTCGATGCGCCTGAGGACCCGCCGAGTCCGAAATCTCTTCCCCCGAAACACATAGTCACACCGCTCCGCCCAAATCTGATGGATAGCAATGGCGGAAAGAGAAGCTTTCGGAAATGCCGAGGCAGATGCCGCTTTCCCAAACAACAGGTCCCCCAGATCCGACACATGCCTCGCTGGATTCAGGACACGTAGGGCCCGTCTGACTGCCCCCACCACTCGTTGGATGCGCGGGCAGCTGAAGAGACAGTGTTCCACAGTTTCGAATTCCCCACAGTGCGGGCACACTGGCTTGCCGCTTAGAAAAGAGAGCCTCTCCCCCACCTGCAGGTTAAGGCTATGAATCCTAAGCAGCACATCCCGCGGCCTGTTCGGCGTCACCAATGAGTTCCGGATCTTAATCACCTTTTTCCAGTCAATGTCACCAGCCCATCTGCCCGCCCAAAGTTCCCTCTTGGCATACTGATGCCTCTGCTTTGTCAAACAGCCCTTCAACTCCTTCAACGACACCACCTGCCCATCTTTGAACAGTGCCGATTTCAGAAGACGAGGAGCTGCAGGCGGAGATGACAGCTGCGGTGGCTCAGCAGACAGAAGACTCTCCTTCCAGGTCTGCGGCACAGCTTTCCAGGCCCGTAGGGCCAGCTTCGCTTGTTTAGAGCCCCCCAACTCATGTGTTAGGGTTTTCACATCCTTGACTTTACACCCCCCCGCGCCATTCGGTATCAGTAGGTCACCCAGCCGAAGCTCCCATAGCTTCGCAGCAGCCTTCTGGCCCCCAACCGGAGTCCTGCCGTTGAGCAAAATATTGCAATAAAAAACGATCCGCTCCGTTACCATTTCCTCCCTCGTCAGGACCGGTGGCGACTCTGCCAGCAGCGACTGCATAAAACTCCCGCAGGCCAGCTTCCATCTCTCACTCTTTCCCCGCCAACTCTTCAGGAGCTTCACATGAGCAGCAAAGGTATCTGTCCCCAGCGGCAGGTCAGTCGCTTCCAGCATGATGTCCCGCTTCAGCTCGCACGTCTCCGTTAGCAGCAGCCCGATGCGTCTCGCCGCTAGGCAGGTGAGTTCTATTTCAGGATCGCGCACTCCCACACCACCGTCTCCTCTCGCCATGTACAGCAGCTCCCGACTCCACAGAATTAATTTTTTGTCGGTGACCGCATGATTGCCTGATACGAAGTTGTGCGCCAGCTTTAAAATTCTCCCCCAGATGTCCACCGGCGGCAGATACAGTTGTGCCTGGAAAAAGATGATCGGTGAGATGTAGCAGTTAATTACTGCTACTCTGGCACCCGTCGTGAGATGTTGCGTCTCCCATTGCCACAGTTTCTCCTTGATCCGTGCGAAAGCTTTCTCCCAGGTGGGGGCGCAGCTGCCAGCCGGTGTCACCCACACGCCCAGGAGCCGCTCCGCTTCGTCGGCCTTCACCCATTTGAAGCCATCCGTCTTAGAGGCCTGCTTGTTCATGTTTCGTCCCAACGGTAAAATAGACGACTTCTCCTTATTCGTTGCCAGACCGGATTCCGCCTCAAAATCCGCTAACAGCCTTTCTGCTTCCGTGATCTGTTCCTCTCCTTGCAGGATCAAGGTCGTGTCGTCAGCATAATCCAGATACGCCAGCCGCCGACTGCCTCCTTCAAGGCCGAGCTTCCTGGCGGCCGCCTGTTGAGCCAGTGGTTCCACCGCGCACAGAAAGAGGTATGGCGCGAGCGGGCACCCCTGGCGCACTCCGGACACCACATTAACCGCATCCCCCAACCAGCCGTTGATTAACAGGCTGGTCCGTGTATCTTTGTGCAGACCCCGAACCCAGTCCACGAAGAGGCTCGGAAAACCCATCCGCTCAAGCACCGTGAACAGGAAGTCTCTCGATACTGAGTCGAAGGCTTTCCTGAAATCGACCAGCGGAAGATACCAGTCGTGGTCCTTGTTTCTCGCGGCTTCGATGACATCCGCGACCAGGCCCACTGCATCCGACAGTTTCCTGCCAGGTAAGAAGCCAAACTGTTCCGGGGAGATGACCTCGTGCAGCACCCTTTTCATCCTGTCCGCTACCACTCTCGCAATCACTTTATAGGTGAAGCTCAGAAGCGTGATCGGCCTGTAGTTCTCAAGCTGATCTCTCCCTCCTTTCTTGTGTAGCAGGATGGTGACCGCCTCTTTCGTGCTCGTCGGCAGCGTCACCGTAGCCGCGAAGTTCTGCGCGAGTTGCATGAAGTGCTTGCCCAAGATGTCCCAGTGAATCTCGAACAGCTCCTTCGGCAGCCCGTCCTTCCCAGGAGCCTTGTCCTTCGCCATCGAGCGGAAGGCATTTTTCACTTCCTCCTCTGACCAGGCCATGCACACCGCATCCGCCGACTTCTGCGACAAGGACCTCCCAGGAGCAGGCAACCAGGCTGACTCAGCATGTTTCCTGTCACGGCCGAACAGCTCCTTATAGTATTGTGACGCAGCCCCGAAAATAGCGCTCTTGTCCTTCAGCAGTCTCCCGCCTGCATTTAACTCCGTGATCTGCGTCCGTCCCTTCCTGGCCTTGATTTTGCTGACAGGTGCGGTGAAGCCACTTCACCCATGACTTCTTCCTTCATCCCTGCCATTACATGCAGCCACTCCTGTCGAGCCAGCTGATACCCCTTCAGCTGCGCCTCCTTTTCAACCAGCAAACTTTTGAGCCGAGCGCACCCCGGGTCACCCATCCAAGCCTGCTTCAGCTCCGCAACCGACCGGTGAAGATGGGCCATCGTGGCTCTGACCCTCTTCCGCTCCTCGTTCGCGTACGCATGTAAAGCGGTGTTAAGGCGAGAGATTAGAAGCTCAAAGCCCTCCCCGCATGACTCTGCCTGCCGCTCCACAGCCTCAATCACCTTTCTGACCCCCGGTCTGTCTAGCATGTATGCATGTAGCCTCCAGAGCCCTGGGCCCAACTGCACCCGCGTGTTCATCCGGAAAGCCGCCTTCACTGCAAAACTGTGGTCGGAGATGGGGTCGGCCGGCATGATATGCGAGACGAACTCCACATGCGCCAGCAACGAATGTGAGATAAGTGCCCTGTGTATACGCGAGCTGGATTGATTTGCGCAGGAGTAGAAGGTAAATTCCCTCTTGTACGGATGCAATACACGAAAGGCGTCCGAGAGACGAAATACGTCACAGCGACGGTACAACTCCTCATTTTCCTTCGTGGTTCCCTTCCTCGATGTCCGATCCAACAACGGATCCTCTACCAAGTTAAAATCCCCCATGATGAGCAGGTGAGAGCCTGGCTGCACTGCGTCAACCTCCAGGCCAAGCACTCTGCGGATGAACACCTTGCGCTCAGCCGCATCGGCCGGGAAGTAGACCGCAACCAAGGTAATGATGAAAGAGTCGAGATGAAGTTCAGCTGCTACCAGCCGGCCGGACGGATGAATGAGGGTGTTGTGTAATGACATTCCATGCCTCCGACAGACCAAAGCAACCCCACCAGCCTTGGCTGTGGGAGAGGCGACCAGGATCTGCGGCTGCCGGAGTGAGGTCCAGTAAGGGTGATCACCAGAGAGCCTAGAGTCGGACACTATAACGATATCTGCTGCCTGCTTCAACCAGTTCCTTGTTCGCTGTTGCTTGTTCCCATCTCCCAGGCCGTTGACATTCAGGCCCGCGAACGAAAAAAGACTTTTTGTATTCATTTGACCACTGCTGTAAGGCCCCTTCGCATCCACGGGCAGGTACAATCAGGAACAACAACACAACCGCGAGAAATCGCCAATGCTACAACTCTCTGCCTCCGACATGCAGGTAAGCAGCTCAGATCTGGTACTCTTTCCGGATGACGTGCAGACCAAGCTTCTCCAGGGAACGGCGAGTGGCCGCACCCAGCTTCTCCAGACCCAACAGATGGCTTGCCGACGTGATGTGATCCGCAGCAGCCATGAAGGACTTGCCATGAGTCTTTCCGCAGCTCTCGAGGGTGCACAGCCATTCTTCCCGATTGCTCCCAGTTGAGATCAGGACAAAAGCAGCATCAAGCAGTAACGGTGTAATCAGCGGAGAAGTGCGGAGAGAGGCAGCTGCAAAGGGGGAGCGGTGCATCAGTGACTAACAAGATAGGTAAGATAAAATGACAACCCAACAAACGTAAGCTGCGGTTACCATTGATCCCATGGACCCGACCCACAGTTAAACTCCACTTCCCTATGTTATTCTGACGCTCCGTGATAAAAACATTATGAAACTTGTCATAATGATGACCACCACAGAGCGGACAGGATAGCAACCGGTAGTGGGCCAACAGTGTCGTCCCTCCCAGCACCTGATGAAGAAACTCGTGACGCCAGCGATGCTTGTCGCCAGCATGCTGAAACACCAGCCCCTTGATCCGATCGGTGTCAGCGCCGGTGACAGGGTGAAGGACGCGGTGGAAGCAGTGACCTTCAGCAAATGCAGACTGCTTCCTCATCCCGAGCGGGTGATCCACCATGACCTCCTTGACCAACTCCGGCGGGATATCCGCTGGAACATCCTTGAAATAAACCTCCAGCAGCTGCGGCTCCGAAGCCTTCTTGCGAAGGTAAGCAGCATCCTCCTGGTGCAACCAAAAGCAGTGAAGAGTCGATCCGTTCTGACGCTTGTGTTCCACCGCCGTTTGCTTGATTTTCACCGCGTCAGATTCGTGCAGGAAGGAGACCTGAAGCCGGCTGTAGCGGGACTTCGCGACCCACGCGGGGGACAGTTCCTGGAACTTCACCGAAGCGAGGGCATCAACAGTGAGCAGGTTAGTCCAGACACGCTTCATCAGCATCCTCACGGCCAGAATCACCGAAGCAACCTCGCGAGAGGGGATAACCGGGAAGAGCAGTATAGCCGTGAAGCGCAAATGCGGGTGAGCGTTGTTGGTCGTGTCAATGTCAAGCTCTTCGTCCGAGTCATCTTCAATGAATGTGTCATCCGAAGCAACCGATGCCAGCGCTTGCAGTTTTTCCTCAATGGTGAGACCAGAGCTTCCTGCCGTCACTTCTGCTTCTGACGGCAGGTTGTCAATGACTTCCTTCCCCTTGCTTGGTATCGACTTGCTTGCAGAATCACCATCACCAGCAGGAGCATTGACCACCGCCTTAGCACGAGAGGTTTTCGGAGGCATCGTGCGATGATGAGGATAAACTGGCAGAAACTCTGAATGGAAGAGTTGAAGGAACTGATGAGCCAGTATTCTGAGCACGACAGAGTTAAGTAGTAATGAAGCGTCTGTGGAAGACCATTCCTCCTGACAAAGGTGTTGTGACGCTGAAGATAAAACTTCGGGATCATCCCGATGAACAGCATCTGCATAGCCAATGGATGTTAGCTTAGGTGGTTCCTTGCTGTGTTGTCTCAGCCTTGAGAACCGCGCAATAGCCTTGAGCTTTGATTCATGATCCAGCGTAGGACACCTTTGAGAAATCCACGCAATGTTCGTTTGATGAACACAAAATAGGTATAGACTTCTTCGTAAAGGTGCAGCAATGTCAATGCCGGAAAAATTAAAGCCAGCTGATAATCGAGCTTCACGCAATGTGAGTTCCACGCAAACGGATAGCCGCCATGGCGGCGAGCTCGAGGTTAGCATCTCGATTATCGGAAAGTGTCGTGGTTACTGTAGTTGTGCAATACACTCAATAAGGGAATGGACCCCTCAGAGTACATGGTTATCTTGTTCTCTTTCAACTATTACCAACAAGGTCACTACAAAGACTTTACTGTCTTTCCTAGACTTGGCAGACTTATTCTATTCACTACGATTCCTTGGTTATATCAGCACATTTGACACACCCCCATATGCTACCGGTACAGTAAGTGCAAAATGTCCTATCCGTTGTTCATCATCTAAAATCCTCCTGCCCTGCCAGACGAATAACCGTATAAATTTTGAACACACATTGTGTTTTTCGATATCGGCTCACTCTTTCAGCTCAAGCAGGGTTTTTTTTTTTTTTTTACCTTAGCTAAGCTTGTCAGAACATTATAGCTCATGCATATTGTGTAGGCTATAGTGGGGTAGCCCATAAGAGGTACAACCCAATTAGGGTTAGTACTTGTACCCAATTCATTTATAGTTCAATCATTCTCGTTTCTTCTCATGGTATCGAGCAGGTTCCCTAACGGGATCGATTCCTAGGGCCCACCAATACGAATTTTTTTTTCCTGCCCGGAGCGCGCTCCGCTTAGGCCCGACTCGCGCCTTGTGTGCTTTCCTTACCGTCGCGCCCTCGCTAGGCCCCTCACGGCCTCGTCGAGTCGCCCTTAGCGGCCCCTAGCGGCCCCGTCGCGCTGCCCTAGCGGTCGCGTCGCGCCGCCCTAACGGCCGCGTCGCGCCGCCCAAGCCGCCCTCACAGCCCCCTAGCGGCCTCTTGCGGCCCCGATCCGCCGCTCTTGCGGCCCCGATCCGCCGCCCTTCGCGGCCCGTCGCCGCTCTCCCCCTGCGGCCCCTCGCCGCCCTTTCTCCAGCGGCCCCGTCGCCGCCCTTGCACGGCCCTGCCGCCGCCCTCCCTGCGGCTCTATCGCCGCCCTCTTCAGCGGCCCATCGCCGCCCTTCTCAGCGGCCCCGCCGTCCCCTTTCAGCGGCCCCGCCACTACCCCTGCAGCGGCCTCCTCGCCGCCCTTTCAGCGGCCCCGCCGCCTCCTTTAAGCGGCCCCGCCGCCTCCTCTCCGCGGCCCCGCCGCCTCCTCTCCGCGGCTCCGCCGCCTCCTCTCCGCGGCCCTGCCGCCTCCTCTCGGCGGCCCCGCCGCCTCCTCTCAGTGGCCCCGCCACCTCCTTTAAGCGGCCCCGCCGCCTCCTCTCAGCAGCCTAGCCGCCTCCTCTCAGCGGCCCTTCCGCCGCCTCTTTTGCGGCCCCGCAGAGCCGCCCAGCAGCAGAGCCGCCGAGCCGCCCAGCAGCCGAGCCGCCGAGCTGCCCAGCCACCGAGCCGCCCAGCAGCCGAGCCACTGCGCCGCCCAGCAGCCGAGCCGCCGAGCCGCCCAGCCGCCGAGCCGCCCAGCACCCGAGGCGCCGAGCCGCCCAGCAGCCGAGCCGCCGAGCCGCCCTGCAGCCGAGCCACCGAGCCGCCCAGCAGCCGAGCTGCCGAGCCGCCCAGCAGCCGAGGCGCCGAGCCGCCCAGCAGCCGAGCCGCCGAGACGCCCAGCTGCCGAGCTGCCGAGTCGCCCTGCAGCCAAGCCGCCCGAGCCGCCCCGTCTGGTAAGAGCAGCGCCTCTGTCACTGCACTTCCCTCACCCTACTGTTCGCGCTGCTAGTCTACTGCTGTCATGGCTACCCCTAGTGTCCTCGCTTTTGACGCTGCGGGTCGAGCCATTGACTTTAACGTCTGGATAGATGACCTGCAGCTTTACTTACAATGCGATAGGGCGGACGGTCTCTCTCTCTTTGACCTCACCTCTGCTGCCTTTCCTGCCCCTGCTGCTGATGCTGACGCCACTGTCCGCTCACAGTGGGCCACGCGCGATGCTGCTGCACGTCTTGCTGTGCGTCGCCACCTGCCTACCTCTGAGCGTGCGCACTTTAGCCCGTACAAGAGTGCTCAGACCTTGTACGACGCTGTAGTTGCACGCTACTCCTCCCCTGCCACTGCTGCACTGAGCCGCCTCATGCTACCGTACCTCTTCCCTGACCTTGCTGCCTTTCCCACAGTCGCTGACCTCATTACGCACCTCCGCACTAGTGACACTCGCTACCGCGCTGCGCTTCCTGGTGAGTTCTGCGCCAATAACCCCCCCCCAGATACATCACTCTCTACTACATAGTCACCCGCCTCCCTGACTCCCTTCGCGTAGTCAGGGACCACTTTCTCTCAGTCTGTTCCACCACTCTCACTGTTGATCTCCTCAAGAAGGCCCTCCTAGCAGCGGAGAAGAGCATAGTCGCTGTAGGGGCCTCTCGTGGTGACCCGTGCACCCCCATCTTTGAGGGGTGTTCCCCCTCCCCTCTTTTGCCCTCTGTAGCCTCTACTGCTGCAGCCGACCTTGTTGGTCTGGAGTCGGTCGGTGCGGCGTCTGAAGCATCGCTCTGGCAAGGGCAAGGGGGGCAGGGGCGCTGGAGGAGCTAGCGCGGGCGGTGGAGGCGGCGGTGGAGGCAGTGGAGGGGGTGGGGGTGGTGGTGGGAGTGGTGGCGGGGGTGGAGGTGTCGCAACGGCAGTGGAGGCGGAGGCGGCGGCGGCGGTGGCAGTGGGAGCGGAGGTGGTGGAGGTGGCGGGGAGGGAGGAGGCGGTGGCGGAGGAGGAGGAGGAAGAGGTCGTGGCTCTTCGCAGAGGAGTGGCTCCGGTGGTGGTCAGCGCCAGCAGCAGCAGCGCAGTCGGGAGACGCTGTCCCCTCAGCAGCTCCGTGAGTGGTACGCTGCACGCCAGCGGGGTGGGGGTACTGGTCCGTGCACCTACGTACTGCGCACCGGCGACCGTGCGGGTGAGTAGTGTGGGGGTGCGCACCCCACCCAGCGTTGCTTTGGCCGCCTGACGGACGCTTGGCGTCACCAGTTCCCTGAGGCCACTGAGATCCCTCGCTGAGGCGAGCTGTCTAGGGCAGGGGTAGCTATCTTTGACCTTGACTTTGATGCTATTCTTGCTGCTATGTATACTGTGTCTATTAGTGAGGAGGGTGACTGTTGCCGGTGTTTCCCGCCCGACCCGGAAATGCGACTGCTGCTCTACGTGCTGGTGAGGCTGCTGCTCTTGGTGCTAGCGCGGCTGCTGCTCTAGGTGCTAGTGCGTCTGCTTCCTCCGGTACTGGTGAGTCTGCGCTCTCAGGTACTGCGTCGGCTTCGGCCTCCCACACCTTCACACTTGACTCGGGGGCTTCTCGCTCCTTCTTTCGAGACCGCACCACACTCACGCCGCTTGGTCGGCCAGTTGCAGTCTCCATGGCAGACCCCTCTGAGGGTCCTGTCCTTGCTCACTTCTCCACTGTCCTCCCGTGTCCGGCGGCCTCCTCTGGCACCCTGTCTGGTCTTTACCTCCCCTCGTTCTCTACGAACTTGGTGAGTGGTGCTGACCTACAGGATGCGAGGGTTCACCAGTTCACTCCTGCGAGTCAGCGGGTGACCCACTGCACGGACGCTCGGACAGGCCGACACCTGGCCACGTTTACACGTCGGCCGGGGTCGAGCCTGTACACACTGGCCACTGCGTCTCCTCCAGTCCCTGCGTCTGGTCAGGTAGCTGCGTCGGGTCAGGTGTTAGCTGCAGCGTCCAGGAATGGTCCTGAGTTTGCCCCCTGCTCGTGTCCCCTTTTGTCTCACGAGACTCTCCTCTGACACCACCGCCTTGGTCACCCCTCCCTGCTTCGTCTCCGAAGCATGGCCTTCCGTGTCCTTGTCTCTGGTCTTCCCCGGTCCCTCCCTCCCCTTCTTCCGGGGCCTGGCCCTACCTGCGTCCCCTCTGTCGAGGGGCGGCAACGTACTGCCCCTCACTCCTCCCAGTTTCTTCAGACAGAGGCCCCGCTGCAGACGCTTCACATGGACGTGTGGGGCCCAGCCCGCGTCCGTGGACAGGGTCACGAGCGCTACTTCCTGCTGGTGGTTGACGACTACTCGAGTTACACCACAGTCTTCCCCTTGCGCAGCAAGGGTGATGTCACTCAGGTGTTGATTGACTGGATCCGCGCAGCTCGTCTCCAGCTCAGGCAGAGCTTTGGCTCGGACTTTCATGTTCTGCGTCTGCACTCTGACAGAGGCGGAGAGTTCTCCTCTGGCCTTCTGCGAGCCTACTGTCGTGCACAAGGCATCCGCTAGACCTTCACGCTTCCGGACTCTCCACAGCAAAATGGGATTGCTGAGCGCCGCATTGGCATGGTCATGGATGTCGCTCGTACGTCCATGATGCATGCGGCTGCCCCCCATTTTCTGTGGCCGTTTGCGGTGAGGTACGCGGCGCATCAGATCAACCTTGAGCCCAGGGTCTCCATGCCGGAGACCTCCCCAGCTTTGCTGTGGACGGGGAAGGTTGACGATGCGTCTGCGTTCCGTGTCTGGGGATCTCGGCCGTTTGTTCGCGACTTGTCTGCGGACAAGCTGTCCCCTCGTGCTGCTCTTTGAGTCTTCCTGGGTTTCCCCCCTGACGTACCAGGGTGGCAGTTCTACCACCCCACCTCTCGCCGTGTTCTATCCTCCCAGGACGTCACGTTCGACGAGTCGGTCCCCTACTACCGTCTCTTCCCCAACCGCACTCCGTCCCTCCCCCCGCCACCGCTCTTCCTTGTGCCAGGTCCCCCCCCGGTAGACCCCCTCCCCCCTCAGGGTCCTGACCCTTCAGGTGTGTCCCAGGTAGACGCTGTTGAGCCTATCGAGGTCGCTGGTGACTCTGGTACTGCTGAGGGTGCTGAGCCTGGGGGTGCTGACTCTGGGGGTGCTGAGCGTGTGGGTGCTACGCCTGGGGGTGCTGAGCCTGAGGGTACTACGACTGGGGGTGCTAAGCCTGGGGGTGCTGAGCCTGGGGGTGCTGAGTCTGGGGGTGCTGAGCCTGGAGGTGCTACGCCTGGGGGTGCTGAGTCTGGGGGTGCTGAGCCTGGGGGTGCTATGCCTCGAGGTGCTGAGCCTGGGGGTACGGAGCCTGAGGGAGCTGGGCCTGTTGGTGCTGTGCCTGGCGGTTCTCCGGGTGCTTCTTCTCGCCGGGAGCCACTCTCTCCACAGGAGCTGCGTTAGTGGTTTGCCCGGCGCTGGAGGCGAGCTGCTGGAGCTGGAGGTGCTGCGAGTACTGGAGGTTCTGTTGCTGCTGAGGGAGGTGGTGCCACGGGTCTCGGAGGTGCTCGTACTGGGAGTACTGGAGCTGCTGGACCTGCAGGTACTTCTGGAGCTGGAGCTGCTGCGGATGTTGGCGCGGAGGCTACTGCTGTCGGTCCTGGAGGCGGTCCTGTTGGGGGTACTACTGGTGCTGCTGGGGGTACTGGAGCTGGAGCTACTACTGGTGCTGGTGCTGCCACTAAGAGTACTGGTGCTGTCCCTGCTGTGTCTGGAGTCGCCGCGCGGCCTCGGCCGTACTTCGTTCCGCTCCTTCAACAGGTTCTTGGTCTCCCGTCTTCTACTGGTCTTCCTCCTCCCTTAGAGTTTTCACAGCCTGTCCCGTCGCCGTTACAGTTACAGCCGGCCTCCCCACTTCCTGCTCCGTCTCCCTACACTGGTCCTACTGGAAGTCTTGCTGAGCGTCGTGAGCCTGCGTCTCGCCCTGTGTTGCCTGTCCGTGCTGCTCGCACTAGTCGTCGCGGTTCGCGTCAGCGTCCTCCTCCTGTCCCTGGCACGCACCGGATGTCTCTGCGTCCGTCCACTGCTCCTCTGCGTGCCCCTTTGCCTTCTCCTCCTGAGTCTTCTCTTCCTACTCTTGCCGACCCGGAGTCGGACTCCCTTCGTGCTGCCAGTCCTACTATCACGCGTCTCCTTGCTACTGTTGTCACTGACCCTTCCTTTGAGTCCCTTGCTGCGTATGCCCTAGTTGCTGAGCTCGTCGACTTTGCTGCTTGCTGTCCCCTAGACTACACCGCCAGTCTTGTTGCTGAGTCTGAGTCTGTCTGTCCTCCGTCCGTCGGGGGTGAGTGTGCTCTTGGCACGGACGTCCTTGAGGACAGGCAGGAGGAGTTCCAGTGCTTGGCCGCTGCTTCACCTCATCTCGTGTCCGTACTGCTTACCCCCGAGGGAGACCCGGATGCACTTGACATCCCGACTCCGCGCTCTTACGCGGAGGCGATAGAGGGTCCCTACTCCTCTCAGTGGCAGGCAGCTATGGACACAGAGATGGCTTCCTGGAAGTCCGCAGGCACGTACGTTGACGCTGTTCCCCCTCCTGGAGCGAACATCGTCAGTGGCATGTGGATTTTCAGGGTGAAGCGACCGCCGGGTTCTCCGTCTGTCTTCAAGGCGCGTAACGTGGCTCGTGGCTTCAGTCAGCGGCAGGGAGTTAACTACTTTCAGATCTTCTCTCCCACCCCGAAGATGACCACTCTTCGGGTACTGCTGCACATAGCTGCTCACCGTGACTACGAGCTACACTCTCTTGACTTCAGCACTGCTTTCTTGCGAGCAGCCTGCACGATGAGATCTGGCTGCGTCGCCCACCTGGTTTCACTGGGTCTTTTCCTCCTGGCACCCAGTGGAGCCTCCGGCGGCCAGTCTACAGTCTCCGCCAGGCACCGCGTGAGTGGCACGGCACACTGAAGACTACACTTGCGGCTCTTGGGTTTGCTGCCTCTACTGCCGACCCGTCGCTGTTTCTGCGCACCGACACTTCTTTGCCGACGTTCTACATCCTCGTGTACGTCGACGACTTGGTCTTTGCCACAGCTGACACAGCTGGACTCGCCCACGTGAAATCCGAGCTGCAGAAGCGACACACGTGCACTGACCTGGGTGAACTGCGCAGCTACCTTGGCTTGCAGATGACTCGGGACAGAGCACGCCGCACCATTACCCTGACTCAGTCACACATGGTGCAGCAGGTCCTTCAGCGCTTCGGCTTCACGTACTCCTCGCCTCAGGCCACTCCTCTGCATACTCGCCACTCGCTCTCAGCTCTGCCTTCGGATGAGTCCGTAGAGTCGAGTGGCCCGTACCCAGAGCTTGTTGGCTGCCTCATGTACCTGATGACCTGCACACGACCTGACCTTGCATACCCTCTTAGCATTCTTGCACGCTATGTTGCTCCTGGGAGACACAGACCGGAGCACATGGCTGCAGCGAAGAGGGTGTTGCGCTACTTGTGCAGTACGTCGGGCATGGGGCTTGTGCTTGGAGGGCAGAGTCCAGTGGTCCTTACTGGGCACGCAGACGCTTCTTGCGCTGACGACCAGGCTACGCAGCGGTCGTCACAGGGTTACACCTTCAGCCTTGGTTCCGGCTCTGTTTCTTGGCGGGCTACTCGCTCGTCTTCTGTTCTCGGCTCCAGTTGTGAGACTGAGATCTACGTAGGAGCCATGGCTGCACAGGAGCTTCGCTGGCTCACCTACCTGCTGACTGACCTCGGAGAGCCGCCTCGTTCTCCTCCAGTGCTGTACGTAGACAACAAGGCCATGCTGGCCTTGTGTCGGGAGCAGCGACTGGAGCACAGAACGAAGCACATTGCTCTCCGCTACTTTCTTGCTCGTGAGCTGCAGCAGCGTGGTCAGCTGCGTCTTGCGTACGTGGCCTCTGAGGCCAACACTGCTGATATCTTCACCAAGGCGCTTGCGCCTTGTGACCATCAGCGCTTCTGTACTCAGCTGGGCCTTGTGCCTACCTTGCCTCACTTGCTCACCTCTTGACCTTGCTTGTACTTACATATATATATACCTGCTCTTGTTTCTCAAGTCTTCTTTATATATATGTACTCCTGCATGTGAAATGGCCTTGTGGCCTTGAACTTGTGCTCGGAATGTGTGGTGACTTTGTGATCCACCGTGAGCTTGGTTTGTTTTGTTTTGCTTGACTGGTCTTGTGACCCCTTGTTCTCCCCCACTTTGCCTATGGGGGTGTGTCAAAACATTATAGCTCATGCATATTGTGTAGGCTATAGTGTGGTAGCCCATAAGGGGTACAACCCAATTAGGGTTAGTACTTGTACCCAATTCATTCATAGTTCAATCATTCTCGTTTCTTCTCAAAGCTGTCCGTACGCCTTCTACCGATGTGCAGATGTTGTGGTCGCCGCACATCCGAACGGTTGGATGGACGCGGACGGCGTCCTCGCGTGGCTCGACGGGATGGTGAACCCCTATTTCAACCCCAGGTTCGGAGTCCGCAGCAAGAAGGCGCTGTTGGTGCTTGACTCCTACCGCGGGCACCTCACTGACGCTGTGAAGGCGAAATTCGGCGAGCTGAAAATCGTGCCCGCCGTCATTCCAGCTGGCTGCACCTCCGAGATCCAGCCACTTGACGTCGCGGTGAACCGTTCATTCAAAGCAGCAGTCCGACAACTGTACCAGGAACGGTTCGAGAGCGAGGGGGTCGACTGCCTGACCGAAAGAGGTGAGCCCACTTCCAACACGTGTTCGATGTGCCTGCGCTTAACTGTCCCCACCCTATTCTGATTGCTGTTGTGTTCCCACGTGTGGCAGGCAACATCCGCAAACCACCTCCAGAGCTGACGCTCAAGTGGATCTCCAAGGCCTGGAAGGCCGTGCCCAAGGAGTTGATTGAGCGCTCGTTCCTCACCTGCGGCATCAGCAACGCTCTGGATGGGTCCCAGGACAATCTCTGCATGCAGCATCGGCGGGACGCCGTCAAGGGTGAAGTAGAACTAGACGAAGAGATTGCAGCAGATGGATTCTGCTGCAACAACGTAGAGGAGCCAGAGTCGGACGGCGAGGCCGACCGAGATGGCTCCGCCACTGTTGATGGCGATGTATAGGATGTGTAGGTAGATTAGATTTTAGAGTAGATTTTCAATGTTGCGGGAAACTTTTAGTAAAATGTTGTTATGCATGAAATATTAGAGCCTGTAAAACAGCTTGTAAAAGATAGGATTATAATAGTAGAGTTTAAAAAAGAGTGGCGCTTATAATCTGTAACGATATTGGGGGCGCTTATAATCTGTAAGCCTCTAGGGGTGCGCTTATAATCGAGGACCGAATATAAGCGCCATCACCCTTTTATAACCGTCGGCACTTATCCGAGGCCTGCGCTTATATCCGGGGGCTTACGGTAGGCTAGAACTAAAATTTTCATAGAGGCTTAAAATGACGGGGTAAAATACCGTACTAGCCAACCACATTTGGGAGCTGGAAACGGTGCTGGACAATATTAAAAGAGGTTGCTTGCGGTAGTTCAGATGCCGGGGAAGCCGAAGTAGGGGTGTGGCCGTGGTGCAGGCTGTGTGGGTCTGGGTGCTGACATGTTGCGATACATCTCTATCACCTGCCACCATGCCCCATGCACCATGCACCATGCCCCATGCCCCATGCACCATGCACCATGCACCATGCCCCATGCACCATGCACCATGCACCATGCACCATGCACACCATGCAGCATGCAGCATACACCATGCTCCATCAACCAACCTCACACACGGTCATGCATCACCATTCCAAGGGCACGAAGCACCACCAACAGGAAAGGAAGTTCAGTATAACCTTCTCTAAATGTTGTGCTTAACCCAACTCCCTGCATCCCTTCTCCACCCAATTCCACCTCCTGCCCCCCAACCCCACCATGTGCCGCACCCACCTGCAGGGCCATGGTCTTGGCAGCAGCAGCAGCGCCGGAGGGGCGGTGGGAGCCAGGGCTGGGGCCAGCAGGGAGGGACGAGGGAGAGGCAGCAGCAGCAGCGGCGGCGGCGGAGGCAGCTCGCTCCAACACTGCCAGTGCCTCGGGTGTCAGGCCCTGTGCTCTCGCTAGTGGCAGTGCCTGGTGGGCGTGGTGGCACACATGGGGCGGGGGAAGGGAGAAGTTGAGTGAGAACGGGTCGACGGTGAGCGCGGGATGGCAGGGCGGATCCCGGCAGACACACGCTTGCTGTCGTGCAAGTGTGCTTCTCACCTCGCCTTGAAGGCGCGTCTCACCAGGCAGGGGCGTCTCACCAGGCAGGGGCGTCTCACCAGGCAGGGGCGTCTCACCAGGCAGGGGCGTCTCACCAGGCAGGGGCGTCTCACCAGGTGGAGGAGGTTGAAGATGTCAGCAGGGCGGTTGTTGGGCACAAACCGAATCTCCTCCAACACCTCCGCCCACTCCCTTGCCGCTGCTGCCCCACCTGCGGCTGCTGCCATGCCTGGAGCTCCCACCCCTGCCGATGCTGCTGCTGCTGCATGCTGCCCCATGATAAGCCCCTGCTGCCTTGATGCTGACGTGACGCCTTGTCCCATCACCTGCTGCTGTGCCGCCTGTTGCTGCCCCATGTGCGGCTGCTGCAGTGGCTGAAGGCCCATGACGGGTTGCTGGCCCATGACAGGGGCATACTGACCCATCACCCCATGCGTCGCCATGCCCATCCCTGCCACCCCATGCATCTCACCGCCTCCCCGCGCACCTCCACCTGCCCCCATGGCCCCACCGGCTGCCACCATCCCACCTGCTGCAGCCATGCCCCCATGAGCGTCCACAGCGCTCACCCTGCCTGCACCCATCCCACCCATCATGCCACTCCCTCTCGCCCCGCCTGCCACCCCTCCTGTGCTTTCAACTGCCTCCTGCTGCTGCCTTTGCTGCAACAGTTGTTGTTGCTGCTGCTGCGCCTGCTGCTGCTGCTGCTGCTGCTGCTGCTGCTGCTGCTGCTGCTTGTGCTGTTGCTGTTGACGCTGCTGTTGCTGGTGCTGCTGATGCTGTTGTTGCTGCTGCTGGCGCTGATGCTGCTGCTGTTGCTGCTGCTGCTGCTGCTGATGCTGCTGCTGATGCTGCTGCTGATGCTGCTGCTGCTGCTGCTGCTGTTGCTCCTCGTGACGCTGTTGCTGCTGCTCTTGCTGCTGTGCGGCCCCTTGCACGAGTGGCTGATGCCCTCTCACAGTCTGCACAGCAGCAGCAGCAGCGGCAGCAGGCGCTCCGCCCCGCACGCTGTGGCTGTGGAAGGGCACACTTTGCTCCAACTCCTGCCAGGGGCCCGCAAGGGGGGGGGTGTGTGGGGGTGATGAGGAGAATGAGTGGTTGGGTAGGCAACTCCCAGGGGCATGGCGGGGCAGAAGCATAGCGGTTGACCAGCCACAGTGAGAACGCTTCTCCACAGCTGCTTGCCATAACGGTGGCTCACTGCAGTGCCTGTGGGCACATGGTGTGCTGGGTACAGGCCACTAGATGCTTCGGGAGACGGGCGCGCAGTGCATGTGCGGGCGTGCATGTGCGGGCGTGCGGGTGTGTGTGATGCCATGGATCAAAGCCATGATTGTGCCCTTCACCATTAAAGAGCACACATATGCACCAAACACGCAAGCAGGCATGTACACATGCGTAAACTTGCACATGCATGAACACACACACACACAGCAGTTCCCACACCCAGCAGTTCCAGGGCATTCACTTAGACCCACCCCCGGGCGTCCACTTAGACGCACATGGAGATGCACACACATGGAGATGCACGCACACAGCACCCAACCCCCACACCCAGTCATTTCCACACCCACCTGGCAGCAGGGGCAGATGGTGATGCGCACTTGCGGCTGCACGCGGAACCTTCTCAGAAACGAGGGCTCGCAGTCGAGAGAGGAGGGTGGCACGTGCAGGGAGCACCAGGAGGAGGGGCAGCTGCGGCACACCACCGCCACTGCTGCCCGGCACCCGCGCTGCTTGCACTGATGCCTCGGGCAGATGAACGGGCAGCCGTCCTGATTGCAACGCAGAGAGTGACAGTAGGTGGGCAAAGGCAAGGAGGCAGGACGTGGGAGTGAGCGGCGAGCGAGGGAAGGTGGAAGCAGCAGAGTGGGTGAGAGTACGGCCCAGAGGCAAGCGCACGTGAGAGGAGACTCCATGCTTGCTGCACGGACAAGGCACGGCCATGGGGCCAAGGCCATGGGGGCAAGGCCATGGAGCTGAAACACCAAACTTCAAACAATCCTGCTTCCCACATTGACTCACCTTCACCCATGGACTCACTTTCACCCATGGACTCACCTTGACCCATGGACTCACCTTGACTGCAGCATGCACGCAGCGAGCATGGTAAGCCTTGGCGCAGGGAATCAGCCCCACCACCGCCCCTCCCCCACCGCCCCACTCCGCCGCCGTCGCTGCCACCGCCTCGTCCGACCAATAGCAGGGCGACAGCTGGCCCTCGGAGGACTTGCAGGCGAAGCAATAGAGCTCGTGCGTGGCGGAGAGGGAGTGCGGCGGCGGGCCCTTCTCAGTGCGCAGCATGAGGCACGTCAGGTACCGCTCGTGCCGCCGCACCCGCTCCTCCTCCCCTCCCGCCTCCTCCTCCCCTCCCCCCTCCTCCTGGCCGCCATGTGCCGCGGTGGGAGGCGTGGGCGTGGCGGCGGGGGCACGGGAGGACTGGGAGCGCGACCGCTTGGTTGGCGTGACCCCTACTGCTGATGCGGCCACGCCACCACCAGCACCACCTGAAGCAGCACCTGAAGCAGCCCCTGAAGCAGCCCCTGAAGCAGCCCCTGAAGCAGCTCCTGGGGCAGCGCCCATTGTTCCCCCTGCTCTGCCTGCGCCACCATCTGCGGCTGCTCCAGCGGGTGGCACAGCCGGCATGCTCAGCAGCGCCCTCCCTGCCGCCCCCTGACTGCCTGCCGCCCCCACAGGGCCGGGCAGGGGAGGGGCAGAGGATGGGGGGGTGGCCGATGCGGGCAGGGGGAGAGAGAGGCGGGGGTGGGGTGCAGGGGGGGCACTGGCAGCAGCAGCCGCAGCAGCAGAGGGCGGAGGGGTGGACGCGCGTGCCTCTGCTGACACAGCCTCAGTGGCTGCTGACGTGGAAGGGGCGGGCGCGGGGGGAGGGGGGGGCGGCGGGGAGGGAGGCGGGGGGAGGTAGGCGGCGGCCTCCTTGGAGAGGGGGGGGGCGAGGGCGGAGGTGCACCAGCGGTGGCGGCGGAAGAGCCCCTTGAGGTAGTTGAGCCACCGCGTCTTGATCGCCTGGATGGACCTGCTCGCACACGAGGGGGTGGGGGTGGGGGTGGGGGTGGGGGTGGTGGGGGTGGAGCAACGCGGCAAGCTTTGGGGTGGCGCGGGAGTCCCTTGATACCCACTGGGTGACAACCAGGGTGTTACTTAGGCGCCGCGAATGCCCTTCCCAAAAAGAGCATGCGGCGCAGCACAGAGAAAGCGAGTGGCAAGAGTTGCTGCAGTGGGCAGTGGGCAATGGGCCCGGCACCACACACGCACTTACCGGCCGGGCAGGATGCGTTCGATGCTGATCCAGCGGGTGCCGAAGAGCACGCGCCCCACCAGCAGGATGGCGTCCTCGTTGGGCGTCCACCGCTCTATCTTATCCCCCCCGCCCTCCCGCCCTCGCCCGCCCTCCCGCGACCCCAGCGTGCCCTTCACCCCCAGCGCTGACGTCATCATCTCCTCCGCCAGGCGGTCCTTCCACTTCTCCCCCTCCCCGCCCACCCCTCCGCCCATCTCCACCTCCCCCGTGCGCCCCGGCAGCCCCCCCAGGCGGCGTCTGGCGCGCTCCAGGAAGCGCACGGCGGCCACGGCGGCGGGGAACGACCCGCGGATCATGTTGCTGTCTACCACGGGGAACGACAACCCCTCCGCCCCCTGCTGCTGCGCCTGCTCGCCCCCGCCCTGCTCCCCGCCCTGCGGCTGCAGCGCGGCCCTCTCTCTGTCCGCCGCGATGAGCTCCTTCAGCCACGCGGGCATCATCGTCTCCTCGCTCGCCGCCGCGTCGCCGCTCTCCCCGCCCGCCGCTGCCCCGCCTGCTGACGCGCCCGGCCGGCTCCGCGCCGACCGCGGCCTGCCCGGACCCCTGCGCGCAACCACCGCTTCCGCCGATGCGTCGTCCGCCCCCCCCTCGCCGTCCGACCCCGCGTGCTCCCCCGCGTCCGCGTCCGTGTCGTCCGCGCCGTCCCGCCCCGCCGCGTCCTCGTCCTCCGCGCCGCGCTCGTCGTCGTCGCCGTCGGCGCGCTGCACGGCGAAGGAGCCGGGCGGCGGCACCCAGTGCGCGTAGAGGTCGGGCGGCACGGGCTCAAGGTCGGCGACGAACGCGCCGTAGTACGCGACGCCGGCCTCCTGGCGGGCGCGCAGCGCGGCGAGCAGCAGGTTGTAGTAAAGCACGTCCATCTCCGGCGACGGCGACCGCGACGACGCCGCTGCGCGCCGAGCCCGCTTCACTCCCGCCATGGCGTTACCGTGTTGTCGCAAACAAGTGGCGATGACTCGCAACCTGCAAGCACAGTGCGATGCGATTATTCGACGTTTTTTCGGGTTGGGTTTGCATCCTTCCTCGGCATTTCGAGGAAATCCTGACCTACCCGAGCGTGTTCAAAATAAACCCAGTAGGCATGGACAATTGGGCCTCCTCGTTCTGTTGCCGCATGAGCAGTTTGGGCCTTCTGCACAAGCACTGCGGGATGGGCTTTCCTCGAAGGGGTCTCCCGCGGCCTCGGCGAAGTTCGTTTGTGTACAAATGTTCTGGCTTAGAAGCCCTTCCTAAACGAGTCCCATTTCCTCAACGAGTAGATTTTTCACATAAGTCCTAGGTGTATCCCCTCCTCTACAGTCCCCTTTTTGGCGGGAAATCTTGCATCTTGACTGAATCATTGCGCGAATCAGTTCCGCAGCCAATCAGAGAACGCAAATCGAACCTGTCAGAACATTTAGAGAAACTAAAACAAAAGGAAGTTTTGATTCACTATTTCTTTTTTTGCATTGTGTTTCTGTTTATCTTGACCGCTCTTGTGTCGAAATCCTGTTGCGCGGTTCCCCGCGAGCTCCGACGATGCCACCTCATTAATCTCGCTTACAGTGTAAAACAAAAATGTTGTCTTTCCTTTCGGCCTTAAAAATAATTTATTTTGTATTTTTCTGCCTGTGTCCTGCGACACTGATCAACGCGGCGAACCGTGCGACGAGAAGTTGAAGACAGCGTAGTCCGAATGTACGTATGTGCCAGAAAAACACGAATAGTAGCGAAGAAAAATCTCTCTTCATGCAATTGTTCTTATATGGGACTATAAGTTCCCTTTTGCCCGGGGTTTGTGAGTTTTCCACAAAGGCCTGCAGCGCGCGTGTTTTTCACGTGGACTCTAATCGAGAACATTTGTACCAAACCTCTGGTGCGGGAGTTGTGCGCGCATCACTGTACTGTTTGTGCGCTGGGAAAATTTCACGAGCTTGGCTCCACAGGCAAAATTTCGCATGACCTGTGCAAGCCCTATCCGCTCGTTGAGGGGGGAATGAAGAGGCGCACATGGAAGAGCCCGCAGCCCGCTGTACTTGTGCGGCAGTCGTGAATGGATTGTGCGCCAACAGAACCATACCAAGGGAGTGCAACTTTCATTCAAGGAAGTGCAACTTTCATTCAAGGAAGTGCAGCTGAACATGGGCGATTTAGTTCCGGATTGAAAGCTTTTATACAGATTATACAACGGAAACATTCTATTCTTATCTCCATTTCAGGAGTTTCGATCTCCTACCATATTTTACAACAGCAATTCATTCCTGATGGTGGCCGAATACCCGCCAACAGAGCTGCAGATTTTGCAGCGTTCAAGCAGCCACCTTCTAATATTCATCTCACGCGGCAACGAAGCGAGGCAAAACATGCCACGCAGGTGCCACAAGCACACCCGCAGCAACACAACACAACGCCACAGCCACCCACAGCAGCAGCCTCTGCTCATGAAGCCATCGCCTCACTGCCACCACCAGTGGCCGCAGCAGCAGAGCAAGCAGCGTCCAGGGAGACAGCTCCCCCAGCTCCTCCAGCTCTCTCAATTGCCCCTTGCCGCCCACACCGCCACTCAACTCCTCTGCCTTCATAGAACCATAAGCTTTGGCCCTGGACACAGTTTTTTTTTTTGCAAGCGTAGTTAGAGTTTTGTCTGGCTGGTGCGGCCGCTCGACCCACCCCGTGGCAACTGTCACTCTGTGCCGCCGCACCACCCTGCTGCTGCTAGTCCTGCCATTACTCCTCCCCTCGTTACTCCCCACATGCTTAGGCACTTGCCTGCTTCCGCCAGACCCCACAGACCCTCCTCCACTGCTGGCAGTGTCCTGCAAGTCAGGGTCGGCACTCTCGTCATCAGTCACCACAGACGACAATACATCAACCTTCTCTGATTCAATCTCCTCTGTCTCCACCTCTTCTGTCTCCACCTCCCACTCCTCCATCTCTAAGGCTCCTCTCCCGCTTCTCCATCCCCTGCCACTAACCCCCAACAGCCTGTCTTTGTGCACCACCCTTCCTTCAGAATCCACCCACCACCGCGAATCAAACACCTCCTCTTCCTCGTCCTCCTCGCTCCACTCCTCTACCTCTACCTCCACCTGCTTCTCCACCCCACCGCCCTTTTTCCCCGATACCCCCTCACCCTGCAAGCCACCAGCCGCCCCTCTGCCTGCAGCCAGCTCAGCGGCGTGGGCAGGGCGAGCAGGGAGGGCGGAGAGCAGCTGCAGCATGCCGCTCAGGTACCGGGGCGCGGGCCGCAGGCCACCAGCCTGCCTTGTCCCTCCCCCACCTGCCCCTGCACGTGACAGAGAGTGCACCGGCCTGCCTCCCCCCACTCGCCCTGCCTTGGAAATTACCGCCGCTGGCCCCACTGGGCCATGAGACTTTACGGGCTGGAGGACGGAGGCTGTTGAATCTGCTCCTGCTTTGGATGGTGCCGCCTCCGCCTCTACACCTGCCCCTGACCCTGCTGCTGTTGTTGCTGCTGGTGCCGCTTCTGCTGCTGTGGGAGCAGCAGCTCCGAGGTTGACGGAGCGCCGAGCGGGCAGGTACTGCTGCCACGGGTGGCGCTGCCCGCGTGTCTTCTTGGACTGTGCGATGAGGTCTGCTATGGGCCGGGTGCGCGCACACACACACCGCTGCTCGCCAATCTCCTTCCTTGCTGCCTCCCCTGGCTCTGGTGCCAGAGAATGCACTGAGACCTGTGCAGTTGAATCCACTGCATCAACTGTATTCACTTCATCGACTGTATCGACTGCACTTAAGCAGTCTGAGGAAATAGCACTGGCTGTTGCAGCAGGCGCTGCAAGGCCCAGTGATTTAACAGCAGCTGCTGAAATGCCTGCTGTTGCTGTTGTAAGTTTCTCCGCCTGTGCTACGGAAGCGTCGTCGGATTGAGCAATACTTGAAGTCCTAAAGGCGCGCTCAAGGCCACCAGTACACACCGCTTGTGCTGCAGCGCTGCCGCCCGGCAGCACACCAAGTGTCGGCATCATCTGGGATGGAGTTGCTGCAGTGGGGCCTGCTGGCCCCTCCGCCTCCATCAAGGTTTCACTGCTCCTACTCCGCCCTGCCCTGCCTCTCCCCACATCTGCATCTCCCCTCTCCTCATGCTGTGGAACGTTGAACTGAGCCTCGTGGCGGCCAGCCACGTCGCCACCTCCTGCTACCTCCAGCCTCGCCTGCTGCAGAGGCTGCTGTCTTGCGTGTAATATCCCCCTGCCGCCTGGAACAACCACCCCTGCACCTCCGTCGCCATCGCCACCGCCAACCATCTCGCCATCACCATGACCATCCATCATCTCACCCTCCATGCCTCCCTCCCCTCCATGCCCCTCTACCCCTCCACGCGCCACCCCTCCTCCATGCTCCAGCAATCGTGGATCATGCTGCGCGTCAAGAGCCGCCGCACCTCCGTCTTCCACCACCGCACGCCCTGCTGCCGCCCCAAGCATCACGACACCAGCTGCTGCTCCGCCTGGCCCCGCCTCCGCTGCTCCTGCAGGGGCCGGAAGCACTCCTCCCGCTGCGGCAGGTAAGGCAGGAGCTGCAGGCGCGGCAGCAGGAGCGGCCATTTGTGCAGCAGGAACGGCAGGAGGGGCTAGATGCGGCCCAGCGGCCACACGTGGGGCTGGTGCCGCGAGAGGCAGGGCGGCAACAGCCCTGGCAGGAGCACCAGGAACAGGGAGCTCTAACAAATGATGAGCTATAGGAACACCAGCTAAAGGCTCGACCGCTAGGGGAGCATCCGCTATAGGAACACCAGGTGCACCTGCAGGAGCAGCAAAGGCGGCAGGGGCAGCAAGGGCGACAGGGGGAGGAGGGGCGGCAGGGGCAGCGGCGAGGGCGGCGGCGTCAGCAACAAGCACTAGATCATCCAGCCCTGCCAATTCCGCCTCCCCTTCCATCTCCGCGTGCCCTCCCCGTTCCTGTAACGGGTGTGGCTGTAACGCAAGCGCTTCAAGAACATGTGCATGCAGTCGAACGGGCTCAGCAGCCGCTAACCCTACAGCACCACCTCCTCTTGCACCGCCCTCCGCCGCACCGTTTTCTGCCACACCGCCCTGTGGCACGGGCAATATGCGTACTCCTTCCTCCTCTTGCCCCACCACCCACAGTGCACCTGCCCCCCCAGCAGCACCACCAAACGCACCGTCTGCAGCAGCACCGGCGGCACCAGCAGCAGGAGCATAATCACCCGCACCAGCATGCGTGTGGGCGTGAGCGGGGTGGTGTGTCATCCGCGCCCCGTGTCCTTCCACATCTTCCACGCCGAAATGCATTGTGACGTCTGCCGCACGAGAATAGAGGAGGGGGCGACACACACACGCGCAGAAACACATGCACGGACCATCAGCGACCGCCAAGGGGGACAACGGAGAGGCAACAACCTTCCGGAAACACAGCAGAGACGTGAGAAGCGGGCGGGACACGTGGGGTGAGAAGACGTGACAAATGGCGACACAAGGGGACGGTGGTGGCTAGCGCGGTGTACCTGCAACGGCGCTGAGCTCCATGGGTGAATCCAGACCCCGCCCACCAAACGCTGCTACGGGTGTTGCTGCTACCATGCCCTCATGCTGATCCATCCCCCTAGCCCACTCTTGCGCACCCATGAAACAGTCCTCATCACTCATACTTCCATCAGCCTGATTCAGAGAGAGATGGAGAGGAGGGAGGCACGGAACAGTCAAGAAAATGGGAAAGAAGGAAAAAAAAGACCGGAAGAAGCAGACAAAAGCTACCCGAAAATAGGACAAGGCCTTAAAAAAACAGAAAAAGGCCCGAAAGGGAAGGAAAAGGTTAGAACAGCAGTTACTGTCGATTGAAATACCACAATACCTGGGCAAGACGCGTTTGCGCGTGCGCGTGAGGAGTTGGGCGCGCGTCCAGATTCAACGATGGCGCACCACTGCGGCTGCCGCTGCTCGCCAGCCGCGCTCCGCCGCCACCAACCGCCAGCTGCGGCGGGTTGAACACTTGCATTCGCACGCGGCGCCCGGCCACCGACGCGCCGGCGGCCGGCATAACGGCGCCAGCGGCGCGCACGGGCCGCGACCTCGGCCGCACCAGTGCTCTCGCGGCGGCGGCGCCCACAGGAGCGAGACCGAGATTGGAAGCGGTGGCGAGCGATGCGAAGCCTCCCCCTGCTGCTGCTGCGGCGGCGGCCCCATGTGCTGATTTGGACTTCGCCAGCGCTGCGGCGGCCGCTGCGATGGTGGCTGCGCCGGCTGCACGCGCTGATCGCAGAGGCGCGGGCGCCACTGCTCTGAGTGCCGCTCGCGCTGCCGCACCAGGAGCGCCAGCAAGGGCAGCCGGTGCGAAACCACCGGGTGCCGCCATCGCACGCGCACTAGGCACACCCGGCGCAGCGAGAACGGCAGGAGTGGCGGGAAGAGCGGCGTGGTTTTCGTAGAGGTCGTCGGCGACAAGCGCGTCTTCGAGGAAGTCGTCGATAGAGATGCCTTCGGGAAGATTCAACGCCGGCAGCTGCTCGCCCAACCACTCCTCGCCGCCCTCCATCGGTATGTTCCACTCCTCCGCCTCTGCCGCGTGGGCGGTCCCATGCTCCGCCACGTGTCCCGCCGCCGCAGCGCCCGCTTGCCACTGAATGTTCTCCCACAATCCGTCCACATCCACGTCGCTCTCCGCCTCCTGCCGCGCCGCTCCGCTCCAGGCAATCCCGCTCGCAGTAGCCGACACATCCAGCACGGCAACGGGCACAAGCGGCGCCGCGGCAGGGTCGACGGGAACGAGATCGACCTCCTCCAATCCCAGAATGTCCATCAGATTCTCCGCGCCGCCCTCCATGTGCCCCAGCTCCGTAACCGGCGGCAGCTCGAACGGGAAGTCCGGAAACCCCGGTTCCTGCGACGGCGGTCCGAACGTGCCTGGCGGGACGAATGACGCGTCTGCAGCGGGAAAAGCGGGCACGGACGGGTAAGCGGCGGCAGGGGCGTGTAGCGACTCGGGAACGACGGAGAAGCCATTCGTGCCGTCGCTGCGGGTGGAAAGTTCCTGAAAGAACGGGTGAAGGTCGGTGGTGGTAGTCAGCGCGCCTTCCGACTCCGCGTCGCTCGAGCCCGCTTCCTCCGCGTCTCCCGCAGCTCCGCTCCCCCCAAACTTTACGGGCTGTCCCGCACCACCCGCACCACCCACACCCGTCGGCGACACACCACCCAGAGTATTACCTCCTCCTCCGCCACCACCCGTCTCCCACGGCGGCTCGCTCGCAGTGGGCTGCCCGTCGTCTTGATCCATGGGCAACGGAGTATCCGCGGCGCCGGCGCTCTTGTTGAAAACGCGGCACAGCACGTAGTCCGCCGCAGGGCCGCCGCGCGACCGCGCCTCGGGCTCCAGCCGGTACTCGTGCATCACCCAGTCCGTCCGCTCGCCACGTGGCGCCCTCCCAAGGTAGAACACGAGCGTCTTCTTGATCCCAATTTGTCGTGACGTGCGCGAGCTGCGCACGGGCTTGTCCTTGCCGGTCGACTTCCAGTACCCCTTCGCCGTGGCGCGATTGGCGCGCGACCCGTGCGGGTATTTCTTGTCGCGAGCGCAGAAAAAGTACCACTCGCCGGCCTCGAGGCACGACTGGCTGGGCAGGTCCCACGGCTCGCACTTAAGAATGTCGACTTCGACGATCAGCCCGTCGTCCACGAGGCGGTTCTCCACCTTCCGCTGCAGGTAGTACCCCAGCAGCTCCTCGTCCGTCGGGTGGAACCGGAACCCCGGCGGTAACCGGAACGGCGGCATCTTCTTCTACTGCTTTGTGATTATTAGTCGATGCTGAATCCAGCTACTGGAGGAGAACCTAGAAGAACGCAAGTGCGAGTTGAAAAATCGTGAAAAATAAATCGGAGAAAAAAACAATACGAATGAACTCGTACGATCCAAAAAAAATAGTAAAAGGAGCAAAAACTCGATTATCGAGTGATCGCAAGAGGTCGTGGGAGTGCAGCAAGGAACGTTCGTCCCGCGTTGTTAGACACTCTCGTATGTGGAAAACTGACAGGATGCGGGCTGCATGCCTGGTTTTGATCTCTCTGGAGTAAGCACAGCAAATGGAAGAACCCTCTGACTGGAGGACCAGCTCAGGATGGCGCTGCTTGGCGGGAGGGGGATGCGCCGGGGCGGAGGACTGTGGCAGTGTAGAGCTAGCAGGAGGAAAGGGCAGGGGCACGAGGGGAGGAGGGGCACCAGGCGGGAGCTTGAGCATGAGCAGATGGGGGCGTGTTTCATCGGGAGGACAGGGGGGAGGGGAATTTCGAAGTAGAGAGCTGATTGATGCTGCGCTGAAGTAGGGAGTACGCGGAAGGATATGGGGCGAATGGGGAGAGAAAGCGCAGAGCAGAGAGGGAGAGGGGGAAGGTGACAGGAGAATGAGGAGGTCACTTTCCAGGCAGGTGAGCCTCGCACGAGCGTGACGCCACACAGCAACAGTATTCGTCGATGTGGCCGTGCGCAAAAGGGTTTGGTCACTTTGATCTGACGGCATGCAGAGGTGGCGTGCGATGAGACATCCAACTGAATGGTGTCGATGTGTTCATGGAAGCGAAGCTCCCGCGCAGACTCTCTCATTTGCGCGAGTCTCGCAGATCAACCAAGACGCTCTAGTTCGTCCCAGGCCGTCACTGCTTTCTTGTGCTTCACGCGTCCTCGGTACGCGTCGGGCATGCTCATATATGGGAAGCACGAAAATACACTTTGAATATTAGTTCCATTCGAACCACTATGAGCATGATTGAGTTGAGACTAAGGTTTCACTTGTGAAATAACAAAAAATCCTATGTTTCTTCCACAGTACAAGGCACTCCAGTATACGCGCCTCTAATATATATATTTTTAAGAAAACTTGGATAACTTGGATAGCACATACGGTATGCCCCCCTCTCAAACCCCCACCAAATTTATCTGGCTGCAGGTATCTGGCTGCTGCAGCCCGTCAACCCCACCCTGTGGCAACCGTCACTCTGTGCCACCGCACACCACCCTGCTGAATCTGCTCCTGCTTAAGCTGGAACAGCCGCTGCATCTGCACCTGCCCATGTCCCTGCTGCTGTTATGCTGCTGCTGCTGCTCTTGCTGGTGTGGGAGCAGCAGCAGCGGAAGCAACTCCGAGGTTGATTGAGCGCCAAGCGGGCAGGTACTGCTGCCAAAGGTGGCGCTGCGTGCGTGTTTTCCAAATAGCAACAGCAGCCGCAGCAGCAGCAGCATTGGCAGCAGCGTGGTGTGTCATGCGAGCCCCGTGTCCGTCCAGGTCGTCCACACTGAAATGCCTTGTGACGTCTGCCACACACAGAACAGAGGAGAGCGACACACACACACGCACACACACACACACACACACACACACACACACACACACACACACACACACACACACACACACACACACACACACACACACACACACACACACACACACACACACACACACACACACACACACACACACACACACACACACACACACACACACACACACACACACACACACACACACACACACACACACACACACACACACACACACACACACACACACACACACACACACACACACACACACACACACACACACACACACACACACACACACACACACACACACACACACACACACACACACACACACACACACACACACACACACACACACACACACACACACACACACACACACACACACACACACACACACACACACACACACACACACACACACACACACACACACACACACACACACACACACACACACACACACACACACACACACACACACACACACACACACACACACACACACACACACACACACACACACACACACACACACACACACACACACACACACACACACACACACACACACACACACACACACACACACACACACACACACACACACACACACACACACACACACACACACACACACACACACACACACACACACACACACACACACACACACACACACACACACACACACACACACACACACACACACACACACACACACACACACACACACACACACACACACACACACACACACACACACACACACACACACACACACACACACACACACACACACACACACACACACACACACACACACACACACACACACACACACACACACACACACACACACACACACACACACACACACACACACACACACACACACACACACACACACACACACACACACACACACACACACACACACACACACACACACACACACACACACACACACACACACACACACACACACACACACACACACACACACACACACACACACACACACACACACACACACACACACACACACACACACACACAACACACACACACACACACACACACACACACACACACACACACACACACACACACACACACACACACACACACACACACACACACACACACACACACACGCGCGCGCGCGAGCACGCACACGCACACACATGCGCGCGCGCGCGCGCACATCCTCAACCCCTCGCACACGCGCGCGCGCGCACACACACACGCACCCACGCGTGCGCAGACACAGGCACAGCCATCAGCGACTGTCAAGGCATATAAGGGAGAAGCAAAGGCTTCTCGGAAACACAGCAGAGGCGTGGAAAAAGGTCGCAACAGATGGGATGAGAATAAGCGGCTAGAAGGCACGCGTGGACAGTGGAGGACGGTGGTGGCTAGCGCAGTGTACCTGTGACGGCGCTGAGCTCCATGTGTGAATCCAACCCCCCCCCCATCAAACGCTGCTATAGATGTTGCTGCTACGGGTGTTGCTGCTACGGGTGTTGCTGCTACGGGTGTTGCTGCTACGGGTGTTGCTGCTACGCGTGTTGCTGCTACCATGCCCTCATGCTGATCCATCCCCCTAGCCCACTCTTGCGCACCCATGAGACAGTCCTCATCACCCACACTGCCATCGGCCTGATTCAGAGAGAGACGCAGAGGGAGGCGCGGAACAGTCAAGAAAAGGCATGAGGCGGAACGGCGGAAAGAAACAGATAAAGCCTAGAAAACGGAAAAGGTTCGAGAAGAAAATCCTCCACAATACCTCCGCGAGACGCAGCTGCGCGTGAGGCGCAGGGGGTGCGCCCAGATTCCGAGACGATGCGCCGCTGCTCGCCAGCCGCGCACCCCCACCGCCACCCGCCAGCTGCGGCGCATTAAGCGCGTGCATGCGCCGGCTGTGCATGACGGCGCCAGCAGCGCGCACAGGCCGCGACCTCGCCCGGCCCGTTGCTCTCGCGTGGGTGCCGCCCAGGGGAGCGGCAGCGCCCTGTGCCGCTCTGGCCTTAGCCAGCCCTGCGAGGGCCGCGGTGATGGTGGTTGCGCCTGCTGCGCACGCTGGTGGCACGGGCGCTGGTGGCACGGGCGCTGGTGGCACGGGCGCTGGTGGCACGGGCGCCGCCAGCCTTGAGGGTACTGCCGCTGCGCCCGGTGCTCTGGGCGCCGCTCGCTCTGCCACTCGGAGCGCTGCGCCAGCAAGGGCAGCAGGCACGCAACCACCGGGTGCCGGTGCAGCAAAAGTGGCAGGAGCCGGGGGAGCGGCGGGGAGGGCGGCGTGGCTTTCGTCGATGGAAAATCCCTCCGAGAGCGGCGGCAGCTCCTCGTACACTGTACGCCACTCGTCCTCCTCTGTCTCGTGGCTCGCCCCATGCTCCGCCACATACCCCGCCGCAGACCCCCCAGCTGACACAGCTTGCCGATAAATGTTCTCCCAGAATGTGTCCAGATCCACGTCGCTCACAGGCACGACCACGGGCACACGCGGCGGGGCGGCAGGGTGGAGGCGAAGGAGGTCCATCAGCGCCGCAGCAGCCGGCTCGCTCGCAGCAGCCGGCTCGCTCGCAGCAGCCGGCTCGCTCGCAGCAGCCGGCTCGCTCGCAGCAGGCGGCTCGCTTGCAGCAGGCGGCTGGTTCTCATTGGACAAGCGGCACAGCACGTAGTCCGCCGCTGCGCCGCCGCGCGACAGCGGTGCGGGCTCCAGCCGGTACTCGTGAATCTTCCAGGCCGTCCGCTCGCCACGTGGCGCCCTCCCCAGGTGGAACACGAGCAACTTCCGAAACCCTATTTGCCGCGACGTGCGCGAGCTGCGCACGGGCTTGTCCTCGCCGGTCGACTTCCAGAACCCTCTCGGCGTGGCGCGATTCACGCGCGAGCCGTCCGGACATTTCTTCTGGCGCGTGCAGAAGAAGTACCACTTGCCGCCGGCTTCGAGGCTCGACCGGCTGGGCAGGTCCCACGGCTCGTAGCGGAGAATGTCGACCTCCGCGATGAGCTCGTGGTCGTCGTCGTCCGCGCGGCGGCCTTCCGCTGCCTCCACCTTCCGCCGCAGGTAGCCTTGGACCAGCTCCTCGTCCGTCGGGCGGAAGTCGAATCCCGGCGGTAACCGCCGCAATGCCGCCATTTTGCGATGCTAAAGCTAGCTGCTGGAAGGAGAATCTAAAAGGGCAAGTGCGTGCTTAGAACTCGAAGAGCTATGGAAGGTATTAGGTATTGAAAGAAAACTGTAGTGACTGCGAGAGATGGTGGGAGGAGCCCAACAAGGAACGTTGGTCCTTGATTGTGGAAGGAACAAGGAGACAATGCAGCTCGTGACTGAAAAACGGGGGAAATGCATGTCTGTTGATTTCTCCTGAGCAAGTGGAAGAACCCTGAGTGATGGATGGCTCATCAGTCTGATGGCGGCGCCTGGCGGGAGGAGGATGGGGCGGAGCGGAGGAATGCGGCAGCGCAGTGGCAGGTAGGTGGTAGCAGGGTGAGGTCGAGGAGACGCCAATGGGCGAGGGGCGGCGGGAAGTCGCGCAGATGGTAAGCGGAGCCATTAGGCAGGGAGGGAGGGGAGGTTCGAGCGGAGAGCTACTCGTGCGCCTCTGAGGAAGGAAGTACGCGGAGGGATCTGAGGGGGTGAACGCGCGGGGCAGAGCGAGAGGGCGGAAGCCGGCGGGAGAATGGCGGCTGATCACCTTCCTTGCATGGGACCTCGCACGAGCGCGATGCCGCAAAGCAATTGTCGACCTCTTCGATTGGTCCTTGATCTGACCAGCACTACGGAAAGCGCGATTTTTCTCCTTTATCTTAGGGGGCCCAAAATTTCGGCGACGGCCCGAGACTTAGGAACCCCTAGTCGGCACGGCAACGGAAATGGAGGAAGTCACGAACCACCCTCGATTTGCCGTGATGTCACAAGCCACAGATGCGAAAGGCAGCCACAATGGTGACCAAAAAGAGGTGTAACAAGCTATCTCATTAACTCGCACCATTATGTACAATTTGAGAGAACGAACGAGGATTGCACTATCGAGGCAAGAATACAATGAGCGGAGGAATCAGGAAGCAGAAGTCTAGCATGGTAACGGTAACGCGCGAGGTGTGGGGTGCGCGACGGGCCTTGCGCTGAGGTTGGAAATTGTCGAGGCAAAGGACCGGAGCGCGGGTTACTGTTACAATCCCAAGTGGGACTTAGCAAAGGATCGCTCAGGGTTGATCGCGGAGTAGTATTGCAGCGGAAGTTTGAATCTCAGGTCAGAGTGAATGTAAATGACTGAGTGGATAATAGCATGCATACATCGAGTTTATATAAGGGTACAAGGGAATACGAAAGGACCTAGACTAGCCATGTACTCTAAGGGGTACATTCCCTTAATTATAACCGAATTCAAAAACCGTGCGGTGCGGGAACCCGTTCAAAACTTGTTCCCGCTCTTTTCACTTCAAATGTTTCTGCCTGCATCGGTCTTGGTCTGACGGTTACTGCGTCGCTTCGGCTCTTCTGACTCTTCAACTTCGTACTCGGTAGAGTCGGCTCCTGCAGCATACAGGAATGCCTTCTCATAAAACTTCACATCGTAACACTCCCCTTCATTCCTGGGCGCGGGTGGAGCTGACACGCTTGACTACTCCAGTGAGCTCAGAGCAGTGCTTATACTGCTGACGTGGCAGACGCTTGGTGAGGAAGTCTGCTGCCATCTCAGTGGTCGGGCAGTAAGCGAGGTCCACTTTGCCTTGATCGATTTCGTCCTTAACGAAAAAGTACCGAAGCGCGATGTGCTTCGTGCGGTTCACGAATCTTGGCTTGTTCGCGATTTTAATGGCACTCTGGTTGTCGCAGTGAAGGCGAAAGGTAGGCGAGGTTGGAATTTTCGCCTCCTGCAGCAGCTCCTGCAGGTACAGATCTTCGCGAACTGCTGCTGTCGCGGCGATGTATTCTGCTTCAGCCGATGACAGGGCAACCAGCTCCTGCTTCTGGGAGTTCCAGGAGATTGGTCCAGTTGGTTCCAGGCGAAAAACGAAGCCGGTTCGGGACCGTCGATTTGCAGGATCAGCTGCGTGGTCTGCGTCCACGTAGCCGTTGAGGTTGAAGGAGGTCGTCGTCAGCGTGGAGTAGGAGAGTCCAATGTCAGGTGTGGAGATGAAGTATTGCAGGGCGCGCTCCAGGTCCAGCTGGTTCTCAGCTACTGGCTTGCGAGAGTACTGCGCCAGTTGGCTAGCGATGTACGAAAGGTCAGGTCGGCAGGTGACAGAGGCGAATAGCAGGCACCCCAACTTCTGTTGGTACATTTGGAGTCCTGCGGGTGACAGAGGTTTGTTGTCTGGTTTCTAGTTGGTGCTCGGGCTGCGGTAGGGAGTTGAGAGTGGTGCGGGTGAGATGCTGAAGCGTTCCCCCAGCTGCTCTACGTATTTGGAGGCTGACAGATGAATTTCTTCTGGCGCGTAAGTGATGCTTAACCCCAAAAACTGTTTTACTTCGAGGTTGATGGTGATGTCCACGCGATGCGCCAGGTTCTCCTAAAACTGGTCGAGGAGTTTGTTGAAGGTCCCTATATACAGCAGGTCGTCTACGTAGACTGTCAGGAGGATGTAATCGCCGCTGAAGTGGAGGCGATACATTCCCGGGTCGTGTGGGAGTTGTTTGAAGCCGATTTCGAGGAGGATTTTGTGCAGATGCTGCTGCCAGAGTCGTGGCGCCTGTTTGATCCCGTAGAGTGACTTCTTCAGTTGACAGACCATGGGATCGCCTTCTCCGTAGGTGTGCGGCTGCTCCACAAAGATGGTGGCATCCACCAACGCGTATAGAAACGCGTTCTTCACGTCGATCTGTCGCAGTGGTAGGTGCTTCGCGGCGGCAATAGCGAGTAGAATCCGGACCGAGGTATGGCAACTGACGGGAGCGAAGGTCTGATCGAAGTCTATGCCGTGACGCTGGTCGAACCCGTGTACGACCCAACGGGCTTTGAAGCGCTCAATAGTGCCATCAGCGTTAGTTTTGAGACGAAAAACCCATTTTCCGCTGAGCACCCTCCTCCCCTTCACTGCTGCACGATCGACTAGGACCCAAGTGTCGCGCGATTCCAATGCTTTCAGTTCCGCATCCATCGCAACACGCCACTCCTTGGCGTGAGGGCTGGTTAGGGCCTGGCGAGGATTCTTAGGTTCCACGGTCCGCGCGAGAGTAGAGACGGACGTGTGCAGGCCAAGAAGTTGAAGGCCTGACACGTTGGTGGTGTCTGCGTTGGTGGGGACTTCAATCACGTCGTCATCTCCGCTCTCGTAGCCGGGTGGTGCGGTGCTTGGTTTTGTCTGGCTCCGTGATGGTCCTGGCGCGGGGTCGTCATCGCTGTCATCGTCATCGTCGTCGCGCGGGCGAGGGGGGATGCTGGGATGTTCGTCGGTGTCATCGCGGTCCAGAACTTCTGCTGCTACTTCATCTTCAGGGGTCGCGAAGCTGCGGCCGCTGTTGGCGTAGCCGCGTGTCTGGTTACGGCGTTCGTCCTCGATCCACTGCGTCAAGGTGAGCCGTTCGTAGAAAAGAATGTCACGTGCAGGGACAATTTTATGGTTGTCCATGTCAAGGATGAGCCATCCTTTGTGCTCGTGGCTGAGTCCTAGATGAACTCCCCAGCGCGCACGAAGAACGAACTTGCCGATTGTGGCCGAAGTGGGCCGATACTGCACCATGCACCCCCAAACCCTCAGCATGGAGGGATCTCCCCTTGAACCGGTCCACTTCATGTGGGGTGACAGATTATCCCTGTTGGCGGTGGTGGAGAGGAGGTTGTGCAGGCGCACCACGTGATTCATGGCGTACGGCCAAAATTTCTTTGGCAGGCCGGACTGGTTGATGATGGCGCGAACTTTAGTCATGAGGGTCCGATTGACCCGCTCAGCAACGCCTTGCTGCTGGTGAGCATAGGGAAGGGAAATCTCATGCTTAATCCCCTTCTCGGTGAGCACGCTCTCCAGTTCATGGCTGCGAAACTCTTTTGCCCCATCACTCTGCCAGATCTTCAGTTTCCTTCCCGACTGTCGCTGCGCGCGCGCGAGGAAGATACGGAACACCTCCGGGGCTTTGGAGCGGGCGTCAACATTGGCAACCCACACGTGGCGTGAGTAGGCATCGATGAAGGTCAGCGTGTACTTTTCGCCGTTGAGTCCGTTGCAGGTGAGTACGATGAAATCGCTATACACCTTTTCCAATTTCTTGTAGCGGTTGGTGCTTGGCTCCTGAGAGGGGTAGGCAGTGTGAGAGAGTGCGGCTGTGGGGCAGACAGTGCAAGTGGTTGGATGGGGGGTGGTGTGTTGTAACTCCGTCCCGTCGGGGCGCAGCAGTGTTCCTGGCGGAAAAACTTTTGCACGGAGACAATTGGTGAGTGTCTGGCGCGAGGGGTGTCCCATCCGCTGGTGCCAGAGGTCATCCTCGGCACGGATGACGGAGGTACGCTTGTAGCGGGTGTGGTACTCTGCTGCCTCCTCCGTTGTGAGTTCTAGGATCTGGAGTGGGGGTTCTTCCTCTTCTCTTGGTTCTGCTTCGTTGTTCTCCTCCTCTGCTTCTGCCATTGCTTCCCCTTCTGCAGGTAGCGTTGAGAGTTACAGGGCGAGAAATTCGCGATCGGGAATGATTGTGAGCGGGGTCGTGGTGCCTTCGATGAAGCGGGCGTAAGGATCTGGGCGGGAGATTGGACCGAGTGAGTCTCGCAGAGGTGTTGTCGGTACATTCCCCTCCTCAATCTCCGACCAAGGATCACGCCAGTGATGAGGTGAGCGAGGTGGTTTGTCGGTGCGAGGGGGTCGACCGAGGGGAATGGATACTCGAGGTGATGCTTTGCCGTGCTCAACTTGTATTTCTTGTTCAGCTTCCTCCAGTTCCTCTTGCGTGAGCTCCCCTTCGTCAGGCTCGTTGTTTCCCCATCCTCCTCTGGTGACCGTGCCGGTTCCCCATGCTCCAGTTGCAGAACCCCAGGTTGCGCCTTCTTCTGGATCAGCGGGCTCGTTGCCCCATCCTCCGCGCGCAGAGTCTGGGTCCCATCCTGCCGCGATGCGCTCCTCATACAGCTTCTGCCGCTTCTCCGCTTGGGCCTTCTCCTGTTTTTCTTTGACGCTCAGCTCCTCAGGTGCGTCAGGATCTTT